TTTCTTTTCTTTTCTTTTCTTTTCTTTTCTTTTCTTTTCTTTTCTTTTCTTTTCTTTCTTTCCTTCTTTCTTTCCTTCTTTCTTCGTTCCTTTCTTTCCTCCCTCTCTTTTCTCTCCCTCTCCTTTTTCTCCTTTGCTTGTTCCTCCCTTGCTCCCTCCCTATCAGCTTGCTTTGCTTTTCATTTTCAAAACAAAGTCCCTCTCTCCAAACAGGTGGCCGACTCCAGTGGCGAATTTTTTTCCAAATCCCCAGAGCTGTTTGAGAGCCCAGTTTATTTGGAAGAGGCGGCAGATGTCCTCTGCATTTTGCAAGCAGGTGTGTGTTTCTCTCCTTTTCCAATTTGCCCATTTGAATCCCACCAGGCTCAAAGTCGACTCAGCCTTCCCTCCTTCTGAGGTGGGTAAAATGAGGAGCCAGATTGTTGGGGGCAATAGAGGCTGACTCTGTAAAACTGCTTAGAGAGAGCTGTAAAGGCACTGTGAAGCGGTATGTAAGTCTAAGTGCTATTGCTATATTTAGCCATAATGTAAAAGCATTTATCCCTAGCCTACTGTTCACTGGCTTCATTTTGAACTTGTTGACTGCTGCTAGTTTTTGGGCAAGAATCTGTTTTGGCTTGTACATAGTTTAATCTTGTGTTTTATATTTTATGCTGAAGAGTAAGCCTTGTTTTAATTGTGATGCTTCTGAGACGAATAAACAAACTTTGAACTCTGTGTGTTCAGAACTTCCTTCCCTGTTGCCTATCATTGACGTGGCTGAAGCTTTGCTCCACATGAAGAATGGAGCTTGGTTCCTCTGCCTTTTAGTAGCCAACGTCCCGGACAGTTTTAATGAAGGTATGTGTTATGTACTTGAATACTTCATTTGGCAGTGATTTTTTGTGTGTGTGTTGCAAAGGCACCATCAGTCGTGCGTCAGGAGAAACATTTGCAGGAGCATATTTTTGAACAAAAGCATTAAAGGGGTAAGAAAAGTAGCCATACAGCTGAGTAGGAACAGAGCATACTTACTGCATTCAATTTACGTCGGGAATGCTGTGTATGGACCATAAGTTAAATTAAAAACACTGCATACTTATTGCATTCAGTTTACATCTTGAATGTTGTGTATGGGCTGTAAGTTAAATGAAAAACACTGCATAATTATTGCATTCAATTTACATCTTGAATGTTGTGTGTGGACTGTAAGTTAAATGAACAACACTGCATACTTATTGCATTCAATTTACGTCTTGAATGCTGTCTATGGACTGTAAATTGAATGAAAACACTATACAGCTAGTTCTCGACTTACAGCCACCATCAAGCCCAAATTTTCTGTTGTTAAGTGACACATTTGTTAAGTGAGTTGTCAACCCTGAAGTGAGCCTGGCTGAAGCCATCTTGGAGACTTCAGGGTTGCCACAAAGCAGTGTGTGTGTGTGTGTGTGTGTGTGTGTGTGTATGTGAAATAGTTAGATGGGGTTTTGTAGCCAAAACAATAAAGGAACCAAGGACATTCTCACAGGTGGCTGGCCAGAGGAGGTAACCCAGCAACCAGCCAGCACCTGGATTGGACAGCATGACCAGTGATTGGGAGGGGGGAGGGGAAAACTTTTGTTTTGGCTACATGACGTGTTTTGCCCCATTTTATGACCTTTCCTTTCCACAGTTGTTCAGTGAATCTTTGCAGTTGATAGGTTAGTAACCTGGTTGTTAAGTGAATCTGGCTTCCTCAATGACTTTTCTGGTCAGAAGGTCACAAAAGGGGATCACGTGATCGTGGGACACAGCAAAGTCATAAATATGAAGCAGCCGCAACGTATGAATTTTGACCAAGTGATCCATGGAAATGCTTCAAAGGTCGTAACAATGAAAAACAGTCATAAATCACATCTCGATGCCATTGTAACTTTGAATGGTCACTAAATGAACTCTTGTAAGTCGAGGACTCCCTGTGTATGTTTCAAAAGACAGGAGGAAAGGAAGAATGCAATTCACTTCCTCAATAATTCCAGAAAAGTGTTAACTTACTTTGGAATGAGAACGTGGGGCAGCTTGACAATTCTGTCGCTCCTGATTGCCCTAAATCGTTTTCCGAATCCTGGATAACCTTGGACTTTTAGGTCAGCATAGGTGGCTGGCAATCTCACGTGTGCTCTGGGTCAACTTTGAATCGAAGAAGAAGCCTCTTTTCCTATTCCTCAGTTGTCACACAGAGTGGGGAGTGGGAGAGAGGATGAAATACGTTGCTAGACAAAACACAGGACTTTCTTGGGGGAACCAAGGTCACCTCTACAGGTGGCGGATGGAGACGGGGAGGAGTGTCTGGAGAGCCCGCCAATTAACCTAATTGACCAAAGTGACCTGTGACTTTTGGGGAAGGAGTTATTTCCTCTTTTAATTACACTGAAGCCGCGGGAAATTAAATTTAGAGTTGGTTTTTCCATTTGATCGTGCCGATATAATATACCCAATAAGTTCTTAGAGGAAGACCTTAGCCTCGGAGTTCTGATTTGCTCGGGCTCGTTAGTTGAGATCAAGACACTCTGTTCCTCCCACCACTGTTTTTGCAACCTGAAGGTGGGCTGAGTTGAAACTTTCTTTTTAAAAATTTAATTGGTGGATTCCAGTATGTAGGGGCTTGATTAAGAACGGTGAGAGGCAAGATGAGGAGAGCTTTGGAGGCCGTCGCAGGACCGATGCTCTGCGTCACCTTTGCAAAATGAACCCTTCCCAGGCGCTGAGGGTCCGTGGCATGGTGGTAAGTCCTTTTGCAACTTCTTGTGATGAACACAGGAAGTAACTTATTTACATTTTTCTCCTGGTAAAAGATAATGTTTGTAGGTCAGGGTTGAACTGTGGGGTCCTTGGCGTTCTCTGAGCTTGGCGACTGTCAGGTGGCGGATGCTCCATTCAAAATCCAAGAAAGAAACACTTAGACTCCGTTAATTAGAGAAAAGATATCTTTTACTGGAAATCAAGCGGTAGCATCAAAGGAATTCTGAATCTGAGGAATTGATCGTGAAAATCACATATACAAAGTGATGGCAACGTTCCCACCCACAACAGTTCAAACTCTCCATCCAATTAAAGTTGTATATAACGTCCTGTGGGGCATCTTCAGGTGGTGATGCAGGCATCTGTCCCTTGACCTTGGCCTATTTTGACATAGAGTTGCGCTTGCGCATAGCACAGCGAAGAAGCATAAACAAGAAACTCCCCCCCCCCAACTTATACAGTTTATTCTCAAAGCCTCTAGCTACAATTATGTCACCCCTCCTCTCCCCCATTACTATGGCAGTTGAAAGATGGAAAGCAAAGAAATCTTGAAGGCTGACAGTGACTTTCTTGAAGACGTTTCATTACCATACTAGATAATGTCATTATCAACATGTACATAGTATCCAAAAGAGACAGTCAAAAAGCCAAAAATGAACTAAAAACATGTAAGCACCTCACCAGCTATCAACACCCAGATGAACAGAGATTAACGGCAAGATTAACACTAGACCAACAATTTTGAAGCAAACAATACCTCAATCAACTAGCTACCAATTCAGACAAACAAGCTAACAGTCAATCAAGAAACACCCCCAAGAACATTCCCACCAACATTGACAGTGCAAGCCACTGGTATATATAAAATGAGACCAAACCCTACTTTCTAAACAGCACTGATGACGTTACCTAGTTTGGTAATGAAACGTCTGCAAGAAAACAGCCAAGCTCAGAGAGTACCAAGGTCACTTTATTTCTTTTTTTTAAATTATATTCTTCCCTTTTTTTCCCATTACTCATTGTTTTTCCTTTTTTCACTCTTCTGCACTGTCTGTCCTTTATTCTTCTCTCTTTCTTTTAGTTTGTGTTTTTAACTATTGTAATTATAATACTTAATGAAATTGCGATTTTAAAAAATGACTTGCAGCAACCACATTTATGACTTTCACAACGTTTCCTTAGCTATAAGATCACCATTATGGTCAGCATGTGTTGTCCTGTGCCCGTCTTTTTCTTTTCTCCCCGACACACAAAGCAGAGATACTGGAAAGGAAGAGATTACAAGAAAATAAGCAGGTACACAATAGAGAGTACATATAAAATAAAAACACTGGTGCCAGCAACAGCAAGCTCATTAGGCAAAACAGCCCCACTGTATTCTCCATTGCCTGCCTGCTAACTCTCTTATAGTCCCTTCTACAAACTCTCTGTGAGGAGTGGGAAAGAAAAAAGTCCCAAGTGGCAATCTGTAGGCAATCTAATCTCTCTGTGCACGATCTTTTGGTTTTTGTCTCCTCATAAAACTAAGTTTGTGAAATCGCCATTTGGTTCAGGGTGATGTGTAAACACTCAGTTGAGTTTGGAGCCAAATTTTAAGATGTTTCTTGTGTGCTTAGGTGGAGGAATGTCACTTACCAGGACTTGGTGTGGCTTTGACTCTGGATCACACCAAGAATGAGTTTTCGGAGGATGGTGTCAGTGACCTGGTCTGTTTTGTGAGTGGCTTGTTGCTTGGGACGAATGCCAAAGTTCGGACGTGGTTTGGAACTTTTATCCGGAACGGTCAACAGGTGAGAACTTCTGTGCTTGATGGAGGAAATCAGCAATAGGGACGCGGTGCCTCAGTGGCTAAGATGCTGAGCTTGTCGATCAGGAAGGCCAGCAGTTTGGCGGTTCGAATCCCTAGTGCCGTGTAATGGAGTGAACTCCCGTTACTTGTTCCAGCTTCTGCCAACCTGGCAGTTCGAAAGCATGTAAAAATGCAAGTAGAAAAATAGGGACCACTTTCAGTGAGAAGGTAACAACATTCCATGCACCTTCGGCGTTTAGTCATGCCGGCTACATGACCACGGAGACGTCTTTGGACAGCGCTGGCTCTTCGGCTTTGTAACGGAGATGAGCACCGCCCCCTAGAGCCGGAAACGACTAGCACATATGTGCGAGGGAAACCTTTACCTTTAATCAGCACACTTTAAAATGAAATTTCATCGCATGCAGCTCTCAAAGGATCATTGCCTCCAATATACACTAAATAAACATGACAAAAATATGCATATACCCACATACCCATATATATTATTGACACAGAGAAACAACACAGTCTAGTTCGGATGTATACATGTACATGATGAGAAAAACAAATCTTGCCAGTTCACCAGATGGAAGGCCTAGGAAACAAAGCTGTTACAGAATCTGGTAGTCCTGCTAGAAATACTTGGAAACCTCCTCCCAGAGGGGAGCAACAGAAACAGACAGTAAAGTGGGTGTGTCAACAATGCTTCAGGCTCTAAGCATATTGCGCTTATAAGCAGTATTCTGAATAATGGGAAGCAAGTTCCCTATAATCTTCTCCACTGTCCTTACCATTCTCTCAATGGACTTTCTATCTGAGGCACTGCTGCCACCAAACCAAACGGGTGCAGCTTGTTAAAATGCTCTCAATCGTGCCTCTGTAAAAAGTGACCAGGACGGAAGGAGAAAGATCATAAAATCATATATATTTACTTAGCAGCCGCCTTGCTTAGCAATGCAAATTCTGCTCTCAGTTGTCGTAAGTTGAGGCCTACCTGTAAAACCGGTGGGAAGCGCGCCTTGCCTTTTAAAGGCCACATCACTGGTAATAGCATGAGGTTTTATGCTAATGCTGGGCTTTTTAACGCTTTAGAAAAAGAATAGCGGCAAAAGGTTGCCGTTTGATACAGTTAATTTCAATCTGCTCAATCCAAGCAATATTCAACAAAGCTTAAAACAATCAATAAATAAAGCCACTTTTAATTATACTGAATAACAGAATAAATTGGTACCTTGGTACTCGGTGGCTTTGAAACCCATTGAATTTGGTCCTCAACCCATTTTGATGTGGAAATTTTGTCCCGACACTCATCTTTTGTTTGGTACTCGACGCACAAGCTAGAATTTGTCGGTGTTGGCTGCCTTGTGACTCACTACATTATTCCTTATGGGAAAAGTTTGTTTGATAACGCATCGTTTTTGGTACTCATCCCGGAACCAATTAAGAATGAGTACCGAGGTAGCACTGTAACAGAATAACAGAGTTGGAAGGGACCTTGGAGATCTTCTTAGTCCAACCCCCTACTCAAGCAAAGCTGGCTGGGGAATTCTGGGAATTGAAGTCTGCCAGGCTTAAAGTCGCCAAGGTTGCGGACCCCTGGTCTATACCATTTCAGAGAAATATCAATTTTCTTCTTAAAAGCTTCCACTGAAGGAGCATCACAACTTCCGGAGATGAGCTGTTTCACTGATTCGTTGTTCTCAGTGTCAGGATATGTCTCCTTCGTTCTAGGTTGGATCTCTAATCTTTGTTACTTTGAAAGCTCAGGTTGTCAGCGTTCCAACTAAACAACTCCAACCCAATAAACTCCGAGACAAACAATTCCTCAAAGTTCCACTTTATTAGAGTTGTCATATTGGCACATCTGGGAAAACCTGAATCTGAGAGTTCCGGGTTTTTCCCTTCCCAAAAGAGAAATCAAAGATCCATCCCTCGCACCCACCAGTCCATCACATGGCTCAATCAAATCTTCGTCCCAACTGGAGACATCCCCCAGTCACTCCCTTCCAGGTACAGGGAAACTTGTCCTTGACTCTGAGAAAAAATGTTGTTGTGTCTAGTCTTCTACCCCACTATGAAATGCCCCCTCCCAAATTCCCAGGCACTGAATGTGGTTTCAAGAAAGAAAAAAAAAAGACTTCCAAGGCTGATACAGTTGCTCTCTGGTGGTGTTCCTGTGTGGCGCTAAACCCTCATTTGGGGTTTGCTCAGCAGATCGGAGTTAAAGGAAGCCATGTTTTCTTTCTCTTGTGCAGCGCAAACGGGAGAGCATCAGCTCTGTCCTTTGGCAGATGAGGAGGCAGCTGCTGCTCGAACTAATGGAGATCCTGCCTACCGTCCGCAGTTTGCACATCCCCGAGGAGGCCGAGCCAGACATGGAACCTAACATCTCGGTCTATTCTGGGCTGAAGGAGGAACATGTCGTCAAGGCCAGCGCCCTCCTGCGCCTCTACTGTGCTCTGATGGGCATCGCCGGCTTAAAGTGAGCGGGCCTTGATTGTCTTCTTGTGGACTTCGTCGTCCTACGATGGCCATGTTTGCGGGTGGGGTTTCAGAGGTGCCTTTCGTGGCCATTCATGGGATGGTAGCAGCTGAGGTCCAACATGTGTGGTGGGAAAGTTCTTATAGGGAAAGATCAGTAGCTTAATGTGACCCCATTTTCCCCATCAGTTTCTTAACCTTAAAATGGGTGGATTTCAGTTCCCAATTTTTTTAAAGTCAGCATGCTTGAAGAGGGGTGGAATTCAGTTCCCAGAACTCCCCAGCCTGCATGCTTTAAGAGGGGTGGGCTTCAACTCTCAGGCTTCCCCAACCAACATGCTTTAAGAAGGTCAGCCGCCCTTGGTTTAGAAGACCTGTTTTGCAAACGACCCCAGGGAAAATATGCCCTGCCCATAGGATGCAGCTGATCCCATCTTTGTGTCATCCCGTAGACCGACGGACGAAGAAGCGGAACAGCTACTTCAGCTCATGACCAGCCGCCCACCAGCCACTCCGGCGGGAGTCCGCTTTGTGTCGCTCTCTTTCTGCATGCTGCTTGCTTTCTCCACGCTGGTCAGGTACCGTTTGAGTAACCAGAGTATCCCCTGAAGAAAGGGGAAAGAGAGAGAAGAGCCATTCATTTCATGGCAGGGGAGGAGTGGCCTCACCTGGGATCGGGCCTCATCCTGAACTTTAAATCCAGAGCGTGATCCCTTTTAAGTTTGAAGGCTGGCTTTTTCCTTAATGTTTATTCATTTGCCAACAGGGCAATGGGAGTGGGACAGTGACTTATTTTCCCCAGACTCCCATTTGAGGTCTCCATTTCCCACAGCAGCAGAATAATCTGCTACAGTAGTCCTCGGCTTACAGTCACGATTGTGCCCCAAATTTCTGTTGCTAACCAAGATGGCTATTAAGTGAGGTTTGCCCCCATTTATGGCCTGGTGTGATGACCCAAAGGGGCGTGGCACAAAGGCAACACAGTCACATAAAGGAAGAAGAGTCCCTTTAGTACCACCAACTTTGCCTCCAATGTCCAGGTTACCTGCGGCTGGAGAACATAACTCTCCCAAGAACAGTCTTTAAGTGGAAGGAATTCAGTCCGAAAACAAAGTACATATAAACTGTAAATAAAAATCCACACAAACCACGCTGCAGTAATTAACTTGACAGGGCAGGAGAAGGAATTGCAGACTTGAAAGGTCAGCAAAACACACAGATGGGAAGATGCCAGGAACCCAGATAAGTCTCGACAGTACCAGATAATTCACGATTTGCTCTCAACAAGTTGCTGTGCGCAGCTTCCCTTTTTAAACACTCTGTTCCCAGCTGCAGCTAATGAAGGGAATCAAGGCCCTTTCCTTCCCCCGTAAGCCACGCAACTCACATTGCTCCCTTCTCCGTTCCTCCCTGCATGCCCTAGGATGAAGAGGGGGTGGGGCTAGATCTTCCTCTGAATTCCCTCCCTTGCTCTACCTCTCCCCTGCTCAGCCCAGCCGGACTGTGCCCTTCCCCAGTTTCTTCCACATCCAACGGAGCCACACTCCCATTCCCTATCAGCTGCTTGGCCTCCCCCTCCGAATCAAATTCCGACAGGGGCATGACACTTTGTTACAGGTAGCAATAGCACATAGACTTGTTATTCTGTCCGACTTCCCATTCTAACACAATTATCTCTTTAGCACCCCAGAACAGGAACAGCTGATGGTGATGTGGTTGAGCTGGATGATCAAGGAAGAAGCTTATTTTGAAAGGTGAGAGACTTTTTTCCTGCCCTTGCCAAAATACAGTGTACGCTGTAATATTGCGTAAAGTATTAGGCAACACTTTATAAAGCCTTAGTAAGAGCACACCTGGAATATTGCATCCAGTTATAGTCCCCACATTTACAAAAAAAGATGTTGAGACTTTGGAAAAAGTGAGAAGAACAGCAACTAAGATAATTAAAGGCCTGGAGGCTAAAACATAGGAAGAACATTTGCAGGATTTGGGTTTGGCCAGTCTAAATAAAAGAAGGACTAGGGGGGACATGATAGCAGCATTCCAGTATTTGTGGGGCTGCCACAAAGAAGAGGGGTCCAAATTATTTTCCAAAGCAACTAAGGCAAGACAAGGAACTATGGATGGAAACTATTCAAGGAATTCAGGAGAAACTTCCTAACAGTGAGGACAATTCACCAGTGGAGCAGCTTGCCTTCAGAAGTAATGCGTTTTCCATCACTGGAGGCTTTTAAGAAGAGACTGGACCAGACACTTGTCTGAAGTGGTATGGGGTCTCCTGCTAGAGCAGAAGGATGGACTAGAAGACCTCCAAGGTCCCTTCCAGCTCGATTCTGATTCTGTAAAATACTCTTAATGAAAACTTTTCCTCTTCTCTTCCCCACCTTCCTTTTCTGACAGCACTTCTGGAGTTTCGGCTTCCTTTGGTGAGATGCTATTATTGGTCGCCATGTATTTCCATAGCAACCAGCTCAGTGCTATCATCGAATTGGTGTGCTCTACTTTGGGAATGAAGGTAAGTAATCTACTCCCACTGCGGGGCCTGGAGCTGCAGGCATTCCCTAAAGCTGCCTGTACAACCTGTGAAACATCAGAGTTAATCCGAGAGTCAGTTTGGTCTAGTGGGGAAAGCACCAGCTAGGAAGCAGGAGATGGTGAGGTCTGTTAAGCCTGGATTCCCCAACAGGTGTTAAGGAAAACAAACTAAACAGAACGTGCAGCGAAGTCAGATAGGAAGACAGGTAAATGTGTGAGATAAGTTTTCTAGTTAACACGCAGTAAAAATACAGATACGCTTGTGCTATCAAAATATATAGTTTATTCCATTTAAGAATTATAGCATAGTCATGTAAACAGTCCAGTAGTCATATATCAATTTCAGTCAAGTCTTGTCAGGGATACTCTATTTGCAAAGTCCGTGTTGAATAGCCAATGTCAGTACACTTACAATAAATCAGTCCAATCTTCTCTCCGTTGAGAAATATCAACACACTTCTTCACTCCCCGTTTCAGCAAGAACGCAGTCTTCAATAAGCCAGCCAGTAAGAGCCAGAGAGTGCCTTGCTGCTTATATAGTACTTTTACAGCTGCACCCTTAATTACCTTCCTTTAGCTTAAAGTCACATACACTTTATGATTCATCATTTTATTATCTTTACCCAAAACAGTTAGGGTAAAACAATGTTATCCCTAACAAGGTCTAGTCCCATTTTTAGGCTTGAAAGCCAGCTGGAGTGACTTTGAGCCAATCACCAGAAGACTGGAGGCTAAAACATACAATAAACAGTTTCAGGAATTGGGTATGTCTAATTTAATGAAAGGAAGGACTGAGGGGTGACATGATAGCATCTTCCAATATTTGAGGGGCTGCCACAAAGAAGAGGGAGTGAAGCTGTTCTCCAAAGCACCTGAAGGCAGGACAAGAAGCAACGGATGGAAACTAACCAAGTGTCAGGATTCCAGCAATCGCCCTAATGAAATCATGATTCTCGAGCCAAACTTCAATAAACTTCAAAGGATTTATTAGAGGCGACATGCTGGCACTGCCCTGTATGAAGCCAACTCTGGCCTACGTCATTTACAGTCCCCTGTGACCCTGTTTCCCTCCCTCCCCCCGGGTGTGTCATAAATCAGATTCTCCAATTGAGCACGTTCACAGGCTGGGTGTCATCATTCACATTCTCCAATTAAATATATTCACGGGCAAAAACTCTGGTATTTTAGTTACAATCTTTTAAAGATAAGAGTTGGAATGTACTTTCGCTTTCCCCCCTTTTTCATGGCAACTACTAAAACAGGCACAGGGATGTTTTATGAGTTGATACCAAGGAGAAAAAAGTAAGGAGAAACTTCCTAACAGTTAGAACAATTAATCAGTAGCCTCCAGAAGTTGTGGGTACTCCAACACTGGATATTTTTAAGAAGAGATTGGACAGCCATTTGTCTGAAATGGTATAGGGCAGGGGTCCTCAAACTTGGCAACTTTAAGACTTGTAGACTTCAATTCCCAGAATTCCTCAGCCGGGATAGGGGCTTCCTGCTTCAGTAGAGGGGTTGGACTAGAACAGGAGTCCCCAATCCCCAAGTCATGGCCCACTACTGGGACATGGCCTGCTTGGGACCATGCTGTGAGGGCGGTAGGCGATTGTGTGCATGCACATGAAGCTCATGCAAGTGGTGCTGTCTTTTCGCACACACAAAGTGTCAGCTTTGGAAGCCATATTGAGACCAGATGCTCCCACGCTGCTACATTTAAGCCTGGGAAAGTGGGAGGGGGGAATTTCTTGGAGTGTATGTAGTTAGACATAACAACATTCTTTTTCTAAGTCAAGGTCATGTGATTTTGCGCATAAGTGAGAGGAAGTCTTAAGTTGAGACCGATGGTGGATTGGGCCATGTGATGGGGTGATGGGTGCAGGGGATGGATTTTATAGTTTTTACTTATTGCAAGGAAGCCCAGAACTTTGGGATTCCCCAGTTGTGCCAGTTACCATCCAAATAAACTTTTGAGATGTCTGTCTGGGAGTTATGGGCTGGAGTGGAGGTTTGCTGGAGCGCTGACACAAAGCTTCCCTTGCGCGAGCGGTGACCCCTTGTGTGAGCCCACAAAACTCCCTTGGTGCGAGCGGTGCGCCTGTGCCTGCCACTCACACAAATGGAGGCTTGCCTGCACCTGCCTGCCGGCCACAAGGAACTATCCCCTCTTCTACTGCAGGAAAGGTCGTAAAATTGGGTTGGTCACGTGGTAGGCTCCCTTCCAGTCGTAAGTTGAGGACTATTTGTGGGGAACATGCGCCGTAGTGAAAACCCCATCCTGACAAGATTGGTGTTCCTTGATTCCAGATCGTCATCAAACCCAGTTCTCTGAGTCGCATGAAAACCATCTTCACCCAGGAGATTTTCACTGAACAGGTAAAATATCTGTTCATCGGATCCTTTTTTGCTTAATCCAGGATGGAAGTTCCCCTTGGGTTTTTTTTAAAAAATACCGCCAGAAAACAGGAACGCTTCATTTGGTTATATAATTTCATGTAAAACATTTCTACTTTGCTCTGCTGGTCTAGGACTGAATAAAGATTTGATTGATTTCTAGGTTTGCTTCGCGTAGAAATCTGCACACATCTTACAATACGGGTAGTCCTCGACTTACAACAGTTCGTTTAGTGACCGAAGTTCCAACGACACTGAAAAAAGTTACGACCTTTACCACCTCCCCATGATCATGGGATCAAAATTCAGATGCTTGGCAACCGGTTCATATTTATGACCGTCGCTGTGTCCCAAGGTCACGTTTTGCGACGTTCTGACAAGCAAAATCAATGGGGAAGCCAGATTCGCTTAACAACCGGGTTACTAACATACCAAATGCAGTGATTCACTTAACCAACTGAGGCAAGAAAGGTCACTTAACAGATGTCTCACTTAACAACAGAAGTTTTGGGCTCAATTGTGGTCATAAGTCAAGGACTACCTGTATTTGGCCAGTTAGCAATCAGCCAGCACCCAGAATGCAATGTGTGTGCCCCTCCCCACACCCTCTGCGCATGCGCGCGCAATCCCCCCCCTCCCGCCACCCCCTTAACTGCACTGCGCCTCACAGCTGATTTTTTGGCTGGTTTGAAGCCTTTTTCGGCCTCCCAGAGGCTTGGGAAAAAGCCTCTGTAAGGCTTTTCAGGCCGAATTATAGGCCCGTTTTGTCACTTCCGGTCTTACAGGAAGTGACGAAACAGGTCTATAATTCGTCCTGAAAAGCCTTGCAGAGGCTTTTTTCCAAGCCTCTGGGAGGCCGAAAAAGGCCTCAAACCAACTGAAAAAAAAAATCAGCTGTGAGGCGCGCACATGCGCAGTGAGGTAAGTTTGCGGCCTCGCATGCCAGCACAAATGGGTCTGTGTGCCATAGGTTTTCACGCATGGCATAGGTTCGCCATCATGGCCCTATTCTATATTTTATTCTATTCTAGAAGATCTCCAAGGTCCCTTCCAGCTCCTGTTTCCTGTTTTCTATTATTATTTTCTATTCTATTCTATATCGCAGTGTCCAGTCATTTCCACAGTTCTGTCTCCTTCCGGTCAGCAGGAATGGGATTGAATACTTTTATCTGGCCAACACAAGGAATTGGGTGCAGAAGTTCCCAGCATACAGGCAAAGCAACAGAACACAGCGCAGAGCAGTCTTTGGGAGGATGCGGCTCTCTCATCTGGTGGGCACTTAACGCCTTTCTTTCTCCTAGGTGGTGACCGCTCACGCGGTGCGGGTGGCCGTGACGAGCAACTTGAGCGCCAACATCACGGGCTTCCTGCCCATCCATTGCATTTACCAGCTTCTCAGGAGCCGTTCGTTCACCAAGCACAAAGTCTCCATCAAGGTGGGTCGCGCTGCTTGCGCCAACGGATCTGGGGGCAGGGGAAGACAAAGATAAAATTAAGACAAGGATTGTCTGCTTAATCTTTGGTTACCTCCAAGAAGGGTTGGTTCAGAATTGCTCTTTGAAATGATGACCCCATTGTACATGGAGTCCTCGACTTATAGCTGTTTGTTTAAGCGACCTTTCGGAATTACAACAGACCGCCTTAGGGGTGCAGGTAATCCTTGACTTACAAAACAGTGGTGGTATTCAGCCGGTTTGCACCGGTTCAACTGAACTGGTAGCAAAGATTTGGCGTGGGTTGCCGAACTGGTAGTAAGTTCTGGCTGGCTACGCCCCTGACCTGGTTGCCCCGCCTGATGCTCACTCACCCCGCCGGCCTGACGCTCGCCCCGTAAGGTATTTATTTCTTTTTTTCCCCTCCCGACAATCATACGATCAGCTGTGCCGGGATTCCCCTTGCTGAGGCCCAGGAAGGCAAAAAATGGAGGGTGGGGCTCAGCTCCCCCTTCCATTTTTTGCCTTCCTGAGCCCCAGAGGGGCCTTCTGGGAGCAAAAATGTCCCCCCTAGAGGCTCCTCTGAGGCCCAGAAGGCCCAAAAAACGGGTGTGTGTGTGTGGGGGGGGGCGGTAACTGCAAAACAAAGCAAAAAGGCCACACCCATCCAGTCACATGGCCACACCCATCTACTATGCCCACCAAGCCACACCCACAGAATCGGTAGTAAAAAAAATTTAATCCCACCACTGACTTACAACCATTTTTTTTTAGCGACCGTCCATAGTTACAACATGAGGTGCTCTCTGAGTTTGGCTGTTTTCTTGCAGATGTTTCATTACCTATACTAGGTAACACCATCAGTGTTAGAAGGCAGTGGGGTTTACTATTTCAAACAGTAAACCATAGCCTAATTGAGGAAATACCAAGAACACTCCCACCAACAGAAAGGCCAAGCCACTTCTATAAAAACAGAGAGCAAACCCCACTCCCTTCTAGCACTGATGTTGTTACTTAGATGGGTCATGAAATGTTTGCAAGAAAACCACCAAGCTCTGAGACCATCAAGGACCCTACCGTCCTCCTCCTCCTCCTCCTCCTCCCCCTCCTCCCTCCCTCCCTCCCCCCCCATTCCCTTCTAGCACTGATGTTGTTACTTAGTTGGGTCACGAAATGTCTGCAACAAAACCACCAAGCTCCGAGAGCATCAAGCACCCTACAGTCCTCCTCCTCCTACCCCCCCACTTTTCCTCAAACCTCACTCTCTTCTAGCACTGATTATCTTACTTAGTTGGTTTCTGTAGTCTGTAATTTTTCTGGAAATCTGTTCATACTCCCACACCATTCGAAGGGTGTTCATCCCAAATTGCAGAGCTAAAAGTCTAAAAAAAAAAAAGAGGAAAAAACCAGAAAGTCCCACTGAAAAAGGTACCTTTGGGACAACCATGACCTGGATTGACTGAGAATCTCCATAGAGACACATTTGAAGGCACCCGTTTTCCTGTTCTTATTCTAGCCAACCGACTTTTCCTCTTTTATGTTTCTCTCTCTTCAGGACTGGATTTACAGACAACTGTGTGAAACCACAACACCCCTCCATCCTCAGTTGCTCCCACTCATCGATGTGTACATCAACTCTGTTCTGACACCTGCCTCTAAATCTAACCCAGAAGCCACCAACCAACCCATCACGGAGCAGGAAATCTTGAATGTTTTCAAAGGACTGACCGGGGTATAAATGAGAAAACAAAATCAATTAACATTCAAGGGTGATGTTAAAGCTTATGGAGGTGTTTCTACTGCAATGATTTTGGTTCTATCGGTATTTTGTCCTAGACTTGACTCCAGAAGAGGATCATATTATAACTTCCAACTATAGAAATTGGTGTTTTCAACTTTGGCCACTTCCAAGATGGCTGGGTTTCAACTTCCAGAATTCTCCAGCCAGCCATGGGGAATTCTGGGAGTTGAAACCCACCCATCTTAAAGTAGAGAAACACTGAATTAGAGGTATCTGTGGAATGGATATGTCTGATTTATATTCCAACTTGAAGATGTTCAGGCTAGTTCCCAGAATTCCCTAGTGTTGCTGGCTGGGGAATTCTGGGAGTTGAAATCCATCCATCTTAAAGTAGCCAAGATTGAGGAAACACTGAATTAGATGTATCTATGAATGTGTCTTGATTTATATTCCAACTTGAAAATGCGCACTCCAGCTCCTAGAATTCCCTCAACATGGCTGGCTGGGGAATTCTGGGAGTTGAAATCCACCCACTTTCACGTTGCCAAGGTTGAGAAACAGTAGTATGATGTTTCCTTCCTGTCTTCCTTTCGAGGGAGGACTTCAAGATTGTAAGCCGTCCAGAGTAACCCTGTGGTATGATGGGGAGCCAATAAATTTTACAAATAAGTAAACTTGGGGCAATAACGGAAATAACATGTAAGCATCAAGATCCTTATTCTCGCTTTTTAACTGCTAGCTCTCCCAAAAGGCCACTGTGATTCCTAGATCGGTCTTTCTGAACCTAGCCATAGTTGGGACGTAGTTGTGAGACTAATGGGAGCTGTTATCCAGCTCATTTAGTACGTAGATACTAGGATCTCTAAAGGGGAAAAAGGTCTGAGACTGGCAAGATAGGTGTCAATCTTGTGAGGTAGTCCACACAAGAAGCATGTCCAGAATGAACTAATTTTACTTGATTATAAAGTTACATTGCAATTACTGAGCTGTGGTGGTGCAGTGGTTAGAATGCAGTATTGCAAGCTAATTCTGCTGACTGCCAAGAGTTCGATTCTCACCAGGCTCAAGGTTGACTCAGCCTTCCATCCTTCCAAGGTGGATAAAATGAGGACCCAGAGGCTGACTCTGTAAAAGAGAGGTCTGTAAAGCACTGTGAAGCGGTATATAAGTCTAAGCTATTTCTATTGCTATTGCAGGCTAACTCTGCCCACAATCAGCAGTTCAATCCTGACTGACTCAATAGCTATAGCTATAGCAATAGCACTTAGACTTTGAATGGTCACTAAACACACTGCTGTAAGCCAAGGACTACCTGTACATCACTCCCGCCCTCACCTTTACAGGCCAAGAAACTAGAGAGAGTTTTTTCTGAGGTGTTTGCTATACCCCTTTCCTTCTCTGGGCTCAGCTGCCTCTTATCTGATTGTTGTCTAGTCTGTGGATCTTCCCTCTGTCTCCCAAGGTGTCTCCCTCATACTATGACATTTACCACACGATGCATCTTCTGTGTTTTTCATCTGCAGGGAGGAGAAGCTGCTCGGCTGAATCCCCGTTACCGAATCACAGCCCAGCTGTTGGTCCTGTACTACATCCTGTCTTATGAAGAAGCCATCCTGGCCAGTTCAAAGTCTTTGGGTACGAGGTAGAAGGTGGGATGTCCTCCAGAGACCACGAATGGGGGCCTCTAGAGAGCACAAAGTCTGCATTAGTTGCAGTCATGTGACTTTTGAATACAGCCAGGCTGTCAGGGCTCCAACAAATCCACCCTCATTCAAAGCAAAAGTCTCCAGCCGCATCTCAGAAAAAGTAAATTGGTTTATTAGAAATTGCCATGTTGGCGCGTGGCTGGGTGCAGCCGATATTAAATCACATCATATATTTCCCCCTTGACCCTGGTCTTTCCCCCGCCCCCTGGATGTGACTTCTCCAATAGGACACATCCGTCTCCAAGAGTCATCCATCATGCTCTCCAATGACCTTCTTATGCTCCAACAACTTTGGGCTGCTGAAGTGACTATCTAGGGATTTCAAGAATGCCTTGTTTTCTTCCCCCACTCCCTTTTTTCTGGCAGCTAAAAAGACCAAAGGAGTATCCTTTTAATTGACACAGGCTGTTGTCCCAAAGGTGTTTTTTCAAGAGGCCACTGGACTTTCTGGTTTTTCTTTGAAGACATTTCGCTTCTCATCCGAGAAGCTTCTTCAGCTCTGACTGGATGGTGGGGAATGAAAGGATTTAAATATCCTTGAAGACAGCTGGTCATTTGCATCCTTTTAGTGTCTGAAAGGCCATTTTTTTGAAGGCAGCAAAGTCCACATTTTGCACAGGGAGGACCGCTGGTTTGAAAGAGGGGTCAAAGAGGCCATCTATGCCCAAATTGAACAGCCCTCCCTCAACAGAGGGGGAGGGACATGATGTAATCATATCTCCAGTCTACAACACAGTCCTTTCAACAGTTCCAAGAAGGCTCCACACCCATTTCTACCATTCAGGTGACTTTGAGGACACAGACAGACCTCCAAGCCGGCCTCATTGACTCTCTAAAAGGATGCAAATGACCAGCTGTCTGCAAGGAGTATAAACCCTTCCATTCCCCACCATCCAGAGTTGAAAAAGCTTCTTGGATAAGAAGCAAAACTTCAAAGAAAAACCAGAAAGTCCAGCTGCCTCTTGAAAAAAAAAGCACTTTTGGGACAACCATGACCTGGATGACTGAGAATCTGCATAGCCAACAAGGCTGTTGCTGTCTTTTTGTTGTTGTTGTTGTTGTCTTCAACAGCTGCCATGCAAAGGAAGCCCAAGTCTTATTCCCCCGCGCTGATGGATCAGATCCCGATTAAATTCCTCATCCGGCAGGCTCAAGGACAGCAGCAAGAATTGGGAGGTAGGTTCAACTAAAGTTTTATCCGGGAATCCTGGAGTTGGAAGGGACCCTTGAGGTCATCTAGTCCAAGGGTCCCCAACCACCGGGCCCCGGACCGGTACCGGTCCATGGATCATTTTCTACTGGGCCGCCGGTTTGCTGGGCGCCGCCATCTTGTTTCGACGAGAAAGTGCTTCCGGGTGAGCTTTTCCGGTTGGAAAGCGGCGTTTGGGTCCTGAAAGAATCCTCGCGCCTTAGTTTCATCGAAGGGTGGGGCGGCTTCGAACGAAGAGCCGTCCCGATGGCGGAGGAGATTAAGAAAGCACAAAAAAGCACAAAAAAGGTACAAAGGAGGAGTTGAAGGTGGCGGGGAGAAGCGGGGGACGGCTGGCTGGCCGGTCGCTCAACTCACCTTGCCTTGTCATGCGTGCTGATGCCGGTACCAGGCCGCGGATCATTTTGTGATGCTGGTACCGGGACGCGGCACAAAAAGGGTTGGGGGCCACTGATCTAATCTACACACACACACACACACCCAGTCTGGAGTTTCTGATTAAAATGTTCTGGAATTCTGATTAAACCATCTCTGACCAATGACTTGGTTTTATCTGCCTGATAAGTTCTGTTGTTCAGCAATTGACTCCTTTGTGTTTTCATTAGGAGAGAAAAAAACGGGATTTTTAACCACAACGGTATCCTTGATTTATAACTGGTCATTTAGTGAGTGTTTAAAGTATGTGTTTTATGGGGTGCCTTCCTATTGGCTGGTCAATGTGTTGATGGCTGGCGATTTGTTGTTGTTTCCTTGGGCTGCCAAGCCCTTGGCTCCTAAGTATTTGGTAAACCGGTGGTAATTCGGCACTCCTATTAAACAGGCCCTTTGTCAGTCAGCATGCCAATCCGCCAATAGGAAGTCACCCCATAATCACAACTCTTAGAAGAGCCCAAAGCATGTATTTCAGTAGAGAGAAATTCTCTAGGATGGGCTCCATCACGAATCCAAAAGCTCGGAAGAGTAAACCTCTGGTCCGGTGAGCGACCCAAATTCGATCTTGCGTCATTATCCTGGGACAACATCTATTTGTTCTCAGCCAGTCCTTGAGTACTGAAGATTTGTCCTGAAATGAATACAAACTCCAGCTCCTTTGTCGTGCAATGGTGGTTTATTCATTAGCTCAGCAAACAACAAATACTCTTCTCTGACAAGAAAGGCTAAAAGCCAGGCAAGGTTAGAGTTGGGTTTGAGTTTGCTCCCTTTCTTTTTATTACCGTTATCATGAGACACACCCCACCACACCCAGGCCTATACGCACTTCTAATTCTGGCCACGCCTAACCCATTATCCCTACATGCTATTAACCCTATAACATGTCTACATCCCTACCCTATTCCGACCCTCAGTAACTGATCCCCACCTGGTGCCACCTTCACCATGTTTTAACCTAAGTCTTAATTATATGCCCCAACCCCCTTTAACAATATGCACCACATCAATACATGAAAAGAGCCAGTTCCAGCAGCCCCAGAGTTGTTGCAGAATCCATCCTGCAGCCCCGCAGTTGTTTCAGAATCCATCCTGCAGCCCCGCAGTTGTTGCGGAATCCATCCTCAGCTCTGCTGAGTCATTCCAAAGCCATCGGACAGCACACAAGCAAAAATACAGATCCGGCAGCAACCGAGATAAGGTGACCATGTCCAGCTGATGCTGCAAGGCATGTTCGGAGCTGCCGGGCTCTGAGTGAACTCAGAGCCCAACATTTGCCTTCACTTAGAAGAGACAATGGTGTGTACGGATGGACAAAATGCGCTCACCCACTGATGGCGTATATTTGGCGGAAGGCTAAAACAATGTGAAAAACACCGGCAGTACAATGCAAATGCCCCAAATCTCAAAAGCATTTGATTCGTTTAAAATATGAAACCCGGGGAGAGGAAAATAGCTTTCACTGTCCTTGTTAGAATTTAGAACGTAAATGGTTGGAGAGCCCGTTTAAGGCAGGGGTCTCCAACCTTGGCAACTTTTAAGACTTGTGGACTTCAACTACCAGAGTTCTTCCATTCCCCACCATCCAGCTTTGCTGACTGAGGAATTCTGGAAGTTGAAGTCCACAAAGTCCTAAAGTTTCCCAAGGTTGGAGACTCCTGGTTTAAGGCACCAGGCTAGAAAGTGGCACCGGTTTCTCTCTCTGCTCCTACCTGCCCAGGTTTGCATTCCGCCCTGCTGCGCCTCCTGGCAACCAACTATCCCCACCTTTGCATCGTGGACGACTGGATCTGTGAGGAACACATCACGGGCACCGACGTTTTGCTGCGCAAGATGCTTCTGACCAACGCTGCCAAGAAACACTCCCCAGAGCAACTGCAGGAAGGTGGGTCTCCTTAGAAGTAACCCTTGGGTGACTTTGGTCCTGCCCGTGGCACTGCCGTAACGTTGTCTTACGGAGAAAATATGAAAGAAATAGGGCCAGGGGACTACGGATTGCAGGTAGTCCTGCACTTAACAACCATTCATTTAGGGACCACACTTAAGAGCACGGAAAAAAGTGCCTTCTGACCGGCTTTCACACTTTAATGACTGTTGCAACACCCCCCCCCCCGGTCACGTGATCAAAATTCAGACACTTGGCAACTGGCATGTACTTATGCCGGTTGCCGAGTCCAGGAATCGTGATCACCTTTTGTGACCTCCGGACAAGCAAAGTTGTTCTGACCCAGCTCCCCAAACATGATAAACCCTCTGAAATTAACTCAAACGTTCCTTTATTAGGAGCGACAAGAGCCCCAGCGAAAAGTTTCTCTCTCGCCACCTGTCTGTCCATCCGGAAGATGGATAGCTGTCTGCCACATCTAGTCATCTCCGCCCCCTGCCTTTTATCCCCAGAGCTAGAGTGGGGGCTTTGCTAGCAGCGGTGGCTCTTCCGTCCCAAGGACCAGCCCATAGATTTCCACTGCTCTCCTCTCCTCTGCCTTCTGGGCATCCACGCGTCAGGCACTGGACCCAGGTGTTCCTCTTCTTCCTCATCAGCCGCCTCCAGACCTGGGAGCTGTTGACTCTCCATCTGAGGGCTGATGGCCCAGGCTCCCTCCCTCTCTCTCTTTCTCTCTCTCTCTCTCCCTCCCTCTCTCTCTCTCTCTCTCCCTCTCTCTCTCTCTCTCTTTCTCTCTGCCGTTATAATGTGCAAGATTAAATATTGATATTTTTTTTTCTATTTTTGAATCTATCATATCCAGCAAAAAGGTTTCGGGTTCAAGTTTTACATCTTGTTCAGTTATATTTAGAATCCAATTTTTTATATTTTTCAAAACTTCTGGGCATATGGACATGTCCACCTCATGTGAAAGTATGTCCCCTGGACGCAGTTACACTACCAACAATTTGTTTCTGTTTGCTTAGCAACAGAAATTTTAGCTCAGTTGTGGTCAGAGGATCGCAAAAGGGGAATCACATGACCCCAGGACACCACAACTGTCACAAATACATGCCGGTTGCCAAGCCTCTGAATTTTAATCGTCACCATGGGGATGCTGCAACGGTCATAAATGTGAAAAACAGTCATAAATCAATTGGGATCAATGAGCTGCGGTGGTGCAGTGGTTAGAATACAATACTGCAGGCTATTTCTGCTGCCTGCAGGCTGCTTGCAATTTGGCAGTTCAAATCCCACCAGGCTCAAGGTTGACTCAGCCTTCTATCCGAGGTGGGTAAAATGAGGATCCAGATTGTTGAGGGAAATAGGCTGACTTTGTAAACTATTCAGAGTTTTTGCAGCGTGAATTCAGCTCCAGAAAAATAAGCGCAGATGGCTGAGGCTTCATCTAACTTCTTTATAAACATATGAAGTAAATTTTACAAACCAGTGGTAGATTTCTGCAACATGGAGCAAACTCAAAACAGCAGTAAACATGTTGCAAGTAACTCAACTTCAGCAGCAACTCAGCAGCTCAGAAACAGACATCAGTTTCACTTTAGTTCAGCAGGCAAGCAGAGGAGAGAAGCAGTTTCATTTTCAATAGACAGACTCAGAGCTTAACACAGATTTCAGAGTTGCAGAGCTTAATATAGAGCCACTATATTTCTAGTTTCTAGTTTCATTTTCCAAACAGTCCTCATTGGCTGACTTAGTTGCTATGCCTATTCATTGGTTGACCTTGTTACCATGCTCTATTCCAGGTCATGAATATACTCTGACATAAACCACTTAGAAAGGGCTATAAAGCATTGTAAAGCGGTATATAATAAGTGCTATTGCTATTGCTAAATCACTATTTTCAGTGTCTTGTTGCTTCGAACAGTCACTAAATGAGTGGTTGTAAGTAAAGGATTTCTTGTACTGATTTTCCCAGTATAACATGCCAGAAATTAACATGAGGCATCTCAGTGGAGGTGTTAGCCCTTTGAGGTAGTCAAAATCAAACTGAGTTTTTTTTTTCAACGTCTTTTTTTTTTAGCTTTCTCAACGCTGCAAGGGAATCACACTCAGGTCCTGCAGATTTTGGAGCACTTAACGCTTCTCTCGGCTGCCGAATTAATCCCTTACGCCGAGGTGCTGACATCCAACATGCACCAGCTGTTCCATCCTGGAGTCCCCCGGCGAATCCTTCAGACGGTCAACAGGATTTGGATGGCGTTGAACATGGTCATGCCACGCAGGTGAGTAGTCTGGAGCTGCTCTGCCTGGAGCTTCATCTGGAGAGGTTAGGAAGGTAGCGACCTTCGCAGTGGAGTGCTGTTGCTGACAGAATGGAATATTTGTAGCTCAGGGTTGAAATGAGGGGGTCCTTGGGGCTCTCTGAGTTTTTGGTGGTTTTCTTGCAGACATTTCATGACCCAGCTAGATAATGTCATCAGTGCTCGAAGGGAGTGGGACTTGCTCCGTATTTATATGTCAGAATATATATGTATTTGTATACATTGGTCAGAAATGGTGTAGGGTCTCCCACTTGGGCAGCGGGTTGGACTAGATGACCTACAAGGTCCCTTCCGACTCTGATTTTATATATACAGGCTTGGCCTGTCAGTGTTGGTGGGAGTGTTTTTGGTGGCCCATAGGATTAGAATTTGAATTTGAATTCGCAATTCAGAATTTGAATTCGAAATTTAAATTAGTTATTGGCCAAATGTGATTGGATACACAAGGAATTTGTTTCCGGTGCATAAGCTGTCAGTGTACATACAAAACAACAAGTTAATATAATCACTGAACATACAAACAACATGTACATACCAACAAGTGTACGTACAAAAAATTTTGGGCTCAATTATGGTTTTAAGTAGAACTGTATCCGCAATTCGTGGGGCAAATTAGGGTGTTGTTTAATGTTAGCTTGTTTGCCTTGAGTTGGTAACTTCTTATTTGGCAAATTGTTTACTTCTTGATTGTTGGTCTGGTATTAATCTGAAAGGGCAAGCCACGTTCCTGTATATAGGTAGTCCTCGACTGAGAACCACAATTGAGCCCAGAACTTTTGTCGCTTAGAGAGACATTTGTTAAGTGACTTTTACTCCGTGTTATGACCTTTCTCGTCACCGTTCTTAAGTGAATCACCGCAGTTGTTAAATTAGTAGCATGGTTGTTAAATGAATCTGGCTTCCTCATGAAGTCTGCCTGTCAGAAGGTCGCAAAAAGGGATCACACAACCCCAGGATACTGCAACCGTCATAAATGTGAATCAGTTCCCAAGCATCTTAATTTTGATCACAAGACCACGGGGATGCTGCAACGGTCGTAAGTGTGAAAAACAGCCCTAAGACACTCTGTCAACTCATAAAACATTGCTATGCCTGTTTTAGTAGTTGCCATAAAAAGGGGGTGTGGGGTGGGGGGGGAAGGAAATCTGGAAGAGCAGTGCAGCAGTTTGGAAGCGAAAGTACATTCCAACTCTTCTCTTTAAAAGACTGTAACTAAAATACCAGAGATTTTGCCCATGAATATATTCAATTGGAGAGTGTGAATGATGACGCCCAGCCTGTGAACGTGTTCAATTGGAGAATCTGGTTTATGAGACACCCAGGGGGGAGGGGGGAAATAGGGTCACAGGGGACTGTAAATGACGTATGCCAGAGTTGACTTCATACAGGGCAGTGCCAGTATGTCGCCTCTAATGAATCGTTTGGAGTTTTTTGAAGTTTGGCTCGAGAATCATGATTTAATTAGGGCAATTTCTGGAACCCTGACACTCCTTTCAGTGCTTTTGTAACTTCAAACGGTCCATAAATGGACTGTTGCAAGTCTAGGACTGCCTGTATATAGGTGGCAATAACAAACCAGGTATTCCTGATTCTTTACAGCTGACAGTTCCTCCAGGTGATTCCTTCTGCCTATTACACCTGGCTGTGGAAGAGAGACATGTGCTCTAACCTGGGCCTTGCCCTGATTTAGCCTGGCAGTTCTGGAAATTCTTATATTTACAGCTGCTTTTTTCTCCTCCAGGTTGTGGGTAATGACAGTGAATGCCCTGCAACCGTCCGGCAAAACGGTCAGACAGCAGAAGTACACCCAGAAGGACCTTCTCATTGACCCCCTGATTGTGTTAAGGTGTGATTCGAGGGTTCACAGGTAAGGCTATTTTCCCCTCCTCCCTTATTTCCTCAACCGCAACCTGGTGACCTTGAGTTCTCACACAGGGCGCAATCAACCACAAATATGCAGGCACGACATTTCAAAAATTGTGTTGTGTCCAGGTGGTACGGTTAGTCCTCGACCTGCGACTGAGCAATTGAGCCCAACATTTCTCTTGCCAAGCCAAAATGGTTTAGCGCGTTTTGCCTCATTTTATACGACCTCTCTGGTCGCCGCGGTTAAGTGTATCATTTGCAGCTGTGTGAAGTTAGCGACATGGTTGTTAAGTGAATCTGGCTCGCCCATGGATTTTGCTCGTCAGAAGGTCATAAAAGGGGGATCACGTGACCCCAGGACACTGCAGCTGTCATAAATAGGTAAGCGTCTGAATTTTGATCACGTGAACATGGGGACGCTGGAAGGGTCGTAAGGGGGAAAACTGGTCATAAGTCACTTTTTAAAACTTGGAATGGTTGTGTTGTGGCCTGTTGGTTGCCGGCCCCTCCAGCAGCCGAATCAGAGGAGGAGAAAGAGGCGTGAGAGTCAGGGCCAGAACCAAGGCAACCTGAGAGCTCTGACGGGGAAGAGGGAATGGAGCCTGGGTCATCCGTCAGCCCTCAGATGGAGAGTCAACAGCTCCCAGGTCTGGAGGTGGCTGATGAGGAAGAGGAGGAACAGCTGGGTCCAGGGCCTGACATGCAGATGCACAGAAGGCAGAGGAGAGGAGAGCAGTGGAAATCTATGGGCCAGTCCTTGGGACGGAAGGCAGAGGAGAGGAGAGCAGTGGAAATCTATGGGCCGGTCCTTGGGATGGAAGGCAGAGGAGAGCAGTGGAAATCTATGGGCTGGTCCTTGGGACAGAAGGCAGAGGAGAGGAGAGCAGTGGAAATCTATGGGCCGGTCCTTGGGACAGAAGGCAGAGGAGAGGAGAGCAGTGGAAATCTATGGGCCGGTCCTTGGGATGGAAAAGCTACTGTTGCTATTGAAGCCCCACCCTAGCTCTGGGGATAAAAGGCAGGGGGCGGAGGTGAATAGATGTGGCAGACAACTATTTGTCTCCCTGCCGGACGGACTTGTTAGCCTGCGGTGTGAGGTTTTTTTGCCGGGGCTGCTGGCAGTCCTAATAAAGGAATCATTGATTTAAATACAGAGGATTTGTCGTGTTTGGGGAGCCGGGTCAGAACAGGTTGCTAAATGAGGACTGCATGTACACTTCTACTCTCTTCTTCTCCCTGCCTTCTATTCCTTTCCCCTGTTTGTGTCTCCTCAGGTGTCCGCCTCTGATGGATATCACCTTGCACATGCTGAATGGCTACCTGCTAGCTTCAAAAGCCTACTTGAGCGCCCACCTCAAAGAAACGGCCGGTCAGGATGTGAAGCCTTTGCAAAACAACATAACGGGTCTGGAAGGCCCCGAAGTGACGCGGGAAGAACTGAAAAACGCCCTGCTAGCAGCCCAGGTAATCTTGCAAACATTCAGCTGTTGAAAGGACCAGTTTTCAACAGCTTAGCTCAGGGGTGGGCAAACTTTTTGGCTCGGGGGC